CTAATGTTCATCATTTCAGGGCATCGCTGACATCTTTGCTGTTATCAACTTCTTTTTTGCTTCTACGCTACGGTATACATCGTTGTTCGATGAATTCTATTGGAATAATCAAAAAATTCTTGCTAACTACTCATTTTTATCGTTTTACTTCACTATTTGTGTTCGAAGTGCTGGAACTGCGCTGATTTCTGTCCAACGATATTTTACAATATGTCTCAGAGGGAAGTCATGCGGCAAGGTCTTTTATTTTTCCATAGGCATACAGCTTTATCAAGACTTTACAATTTCTCGTGTAAGGAAAAATGTCAGGAGGGGAAGTTTTGAGAATTAAGAAAGTTGCACCTTCCTTTTCTAATTCGCTAATATTACCCTGTTTCCAATTCAATGCTTCGATATTCAATGGCTGGTAGATAAGATACCGGTTGAATAGTTGTTGAGGAGATCTTTATTTATGATTTTTGAGCATCCATTCTGATTGGAGATGCCTTCTATTCCTTTGAAGAAAATTGCATATTTGAGATTACTGTAGGAATCCATGCTTCTATGAATGGAATGTGAAGTCAAGATTCAAGAGGGAGAAATAAAAGGCGATGTACTCATCGTAAACGATATTCGTCATAGTACGGATACCTAGACGGAAAAGCTAATACCGTAAGATAGATCACTCGATGAAAGTGGAGTTGTGCTTATTGTTAGAGGGGAATAGGTCTATAGCTGAAAATGCACTTTAATTTGTGGGTTGAAATTCCCAAATCATCACGAAATCCGAATGAAACTATCACAGCAAGCTCTCCGAAAGTCAGTCTAAACTTTTGAACTATTCTAAGAATATAGAATATAAGACATCCGTAGAATGACGTCTTCACGCTTACCAAGTTCAGCGACATGAACCTAATTCGATACAATTTCTTCTTGTCCACTGGAAGCACTACTTTCCCTTTACTTCAAATGCGTGATGTAATAATTATATGTCTTACTTTTTACTGAAAATTACTATCACGGAGAATATTTGCAGAACCATTTTGGCTGATAATTTTCAGAATTTCTGTCTTATACCGTCGTCTGTGTACGTCATTGTACATTGGACAAGCGCAGTGCTGCTGACTGTTCCGTTGTGCAAATCATTGCATAGTTCTTTTACGGCACCACACAAACTCTCCATGGTGAATCCTCCCCAGCAATTGGCGGTACGATATCTTTTCTTTCTAATAGTGAGAATTTGGTGAAGCAGTGCCAAGTGGCGCACTCTCACGCGCATGGTCAGGATTCGAATTCCAGATCGATGCCCGCCTAGGCCAACCAAGCCTTCATCCCTCCGGGGTCGATGAACTGGTACCAGACTCGTCTGGGAGGATGAAAGCACTAACTTGTACATGGGCTGGCCACCGCAAGTCATTTTATACGCCACATACGCACTCAGGAAGTCGAGTGCGGGGGCGCATCCGAGGAATGATTAACGCCAATAACTTTATCCTTTCTAGTGAGAATACAGTTCTCAAATGCTCGAAGGGACACCACAAGAGGGAACTCCACCTCTACAGCATGAAAATGATCCCTCTGTAGCAAATTTGCAAGAGTTCATGATGGCGCGCAGAAAGCAGCACGGCAATCATCTCTGAATGGCGAATAAACTTAAATAAAAGGATGAAAGTCCAAAAGGATAAAGTTTAGGGGCGTCGATCACGTCTGAAGGATGTGTCTATGCATTCGACTCTCACTCAGAATTGTATTGAATGCGCGTGTGGCCTATACAATGACTGGCTATGGCCAGCCGATGTACAAGCCAGTGCTTTTTATCCTTTCGGACGAGTTTCGTAACAACTAACCGACCTCGAAGGGATGGAGGGCTTGGTTGGTCTAGGCGGATACCGGTCCGGGGTTCGAACGCGTGAATATGCGTGTGTTAAGTGCGCCATTTGCCATCGATATCGGTTTGGGCAACTGGTCCCTAGCAATACGCGCCGTTTACGCCGCCGTGCTGTTCAGCACCATCCTTTCTTTCCCGGTTGGTCAAGATAGCGAAGAAACAAATCCACCGTGGGGAACACCTCGAATACTATTCTCTTTGATCTAATTCTTGCCAGCATACTATTAATATGGTAGGAAAAGTACTAACTGCAGAAAAAAATCACCAAACTCTCAGGGTGTAAGTGATATGAGTAGAGCTATGCAGCTGCCGTAGCTATAAACAGGTTAAGAGAAAGCCTTGGATTGGGTATAGAGACTTGGAATTTTTCTGGTTTTGGAAATAAAATGATGGTGCAGAGGAAATCACAGAAGAGTGCGGTGCTAAGAAATAGTCATTCTTCAGGATGCAAGCTTGCTGGCAGTGCTTACTGTTGCTACATGCTTTACGGTTTCTGTGGTCAGTTATGCATTGATACTAGTTCATCTGTTAAGCTTAAGAAGTCTTGGAAAAAGGTATGAGAATCTTGTTCTCCTGAATAATGTTATGAACACTCACTTCTTGTGGCCCGATATGTTTAACTACGAATTTTCAGTCTAGGGTAGGCCAGTTGTATAATGCGTTTAATGATGGTTTGATTGGTGGGGCATTCAACTTTGTTTTATGGTTTTAGTCTTTATGAAGGTTCCAACTCGCTCTCACCTTTTTCGAAGGCAATCAAATGGTAGAACACTGATAGGCCTTACGAAGAATCTTCTAAAGGCAGCACTGTGAAAGTTATTCCATTGAAAGTGTTATGGGGAGAAAATCGGGAGGCCACATGTGGTGCTGTCGCAATAGTGAAGACTGCTCAGAAAGGGCTCCTTAAGAAGCCGAAGCTTATCTGAGCCCTATCCCACCTTCTTCGAGGACGCCTAATGATAGGTTTATCAAAGAACCTCCTGGAGGCGACTTTGTGGGGTGGACGAAGGGATAGTGTACAAACCTCTGCACCTAACTAAAACAATACTGAAAGCTGATATATCCGGATCCTCCGGGTTTTTTTTTATACCGTTCTCTCGAGTGCGGCTGGCCACCTCGAATTATTGTAAAGGATGAAGTCTTCGAGCGTTAGTCAACCCGCTTGAGGGATGCGTCCGCACCCTCGACTTCCATTCAGAACCGTAGTGGCCTATACAATGACTTGGGGTGTCTAGCCGATGTTCAAGTCAGTGATTTTAATTTCCCAAACGAGTCTGGTACCAATACACCGATCCCCGAGTGATGGAGGGCTTGGTTGGCCCAGGCGGATATCGATCCGGGATTCGTACCCTGACCGTGCGTGTGAGATAGTGCGTCACTCGCCACCACACCACCTCCGCCCAAATATTCACTATTAGAAAAAATGATAAACGAGTAAACAAAAATTCTTTTTATTTGTATAAAAGCTTCCGGGCTTCAGATCGGACCGTTATGAGATTCGACTATGTGTGCAGGCTATGGGATTATTGCTTGCTCTACTACTGTTTTTTGTTTACTATGTCGCAATGTATGTCATCGGATATATTATAGGGAATGTAAGAACTCTGTATTGAACGTTGACCTGTTTTCCACCAAAATTGCTGGAAGAACTGCGAAAAATATGTATGAATTTTATCTAGAATGTATCCCTCTTGACGGAGTGGCGACTCTATGCTCCACTCGTAACCGGTTTCGGTACATGGGTACAACCATGGATGCTGCTGGCTTTCAATAGAGAAATTCGACAAAATATCATAAAAACTGTATTTTGTCGTAAGGAACCTTTATATGAAGCAACGGTAATGTCCGGCTATGTGTTCGTCAGCAAATTTTCATGTGCTTTATTACGTTGACGAAGAGTAGTGTAATATTTTCAGACCATGCGTACGGTTTCAGTGTGGGACGTAGATAGACACCGTGTTCACGTCGTCTGATCCAAAATGTAGCAAAGTTACAGTATCCTGAGATTGTTGGAACGTCATTCCTGTTCTATGGGTGGGTTGGAATATGACGAGGCATGCCATACCGAAAGATCGAAAATTCTTACATGGTGTGGAATATTCCAACATCCCTTGTAACGTTCAATTTATTTGCTCTCCACTTTTTTTTCGCTATTGAGGAGCTCTCAAGATACCTTTGAAGCACGCTCATCTTACAAAAAGTCAGGAATGAAAGAGTTCGAAGATGAACTGAACTTGCTAAACTCATCAATCCATTCCGGCTTTGTCGGATAAATTTCAGTTGTAAGCGGCTTCGTGGCCCTTGGAGTGTCTAGTGAGTTCACTTCTTGGGTCAGTCCTCAAACTGTTGTAATAATATCATCTAATCTATTTCAAAAGAGGCAGTTATTGGAGACTTGTTTGACAGAATGATGAAGTAAAATTCGAAAAGTCTGAGACCAATGTTTTCGTTTCTATTTCCGAAACAAAGCCTCACAAACCACAGCTAAGAAAACTTTCCAATCGACAACCATTCAAGCAATTGGAATTTCTTTTGTTCATTTTATCATAATATGCAATACTTGTCTACCTCTTGAAGGCTAGAATCTGACGACGGACACTTTACCGTTTGGAATTACCACCAACTATCTCCTTTATCTCAGTGATAGGTACTGTGATAGGTGGCAGAAGTAGGACATGAAAAGTATGGAGACCTTTTCTCAGATTATATACTGTATGAGGACTCACATGATCCCTACACACTGTATGAAGACTCCGATGACCGCAATCGAAGTTTCCCATGTCTAGTGCTCATTTGTTGCTAAAATTAATATTCTCACCTTTTTCCTACCATCTTCACCTCCACACTACCCCGCCCCCTAGCCCCTCGCTATTGAATTTCCCTACCTATCTCGGTCTGGAAGGCCACCAATTTTATTGTGAGATGGGTAATTTTCATACCAGTCTCCAGATATGATTTTATCTGCATTTCGTGTGATAGTAAAATTTTTGGATCACCGAGAATAAAACGTTTTCTTTTCAAAAAAATTCGGATGCCCAATTACCACATTACGACCTTGCGTAGGTGAATTCATTTCGTAGATGGCATTTAGATTGAGCAAAAATCTGATGGAACCTAATTAGTTCTAGTTTTCGCAGACATGACTTTTCCGTGGCCGCAAGTCTTATTCATCGCTATAACTTTCGTAACGTTGCCTCTATACATTCTTATACTGATTGTTGTTTGTAAACAACCTGAACTATCGACTTTTTACGTCCTAATTGTCTCAGAGGTGAGTTTCGTTTTAACCTACCTATAAACACCCAAGCCAACCAAGCCTTTCATCCCTCCAGGGTCAGTCAATCGGTCCCAGACTAGTCTGGAAGGATGAAAGCAATGGCTCGTACATTGGCTGGCCACCGCAAGTCATTGTATGGGCCACACATGTATTTAATACGCCACTACGATTCTAAATAGAAGTCGAATGCATGGGCGCATCCCTGAGACGGGAGCGTTCAACGCTCCCAGGCTTTTAAATTTCAAGTTATACCAAAGGATTGTCCTTGACTGTCCCCAATTTTTACTTTTCCAGTTTTCTCCAGACGTTTTTACTTTCAAGGGCATTGCTGACATCTATGCAGTAGTCAGCTACTTTCTTGCCACCGCATTGCGATTCACACTATGGTTAGACGAGCTGTACTGGGGACACGAACGTTTTTTCGCTAACTACGCATATTTGTCTGTTTATTTCTCTACGTATGTAAGAAGTGTTGGTATAACACTAATTGCCTTTCAACGATATGTTATCATATGTCTCAGAGGAAAACCGTTGGGGAAGGTGCGTTTAAGTTTTTCTGCCAGTATTGTTTGATCATCAGAACTACCTTTGTTGAACCTCGAGTGAGTTAAGAACCTCGAGGGATCAAGTAACTCGACGGCACAGTTCACAATGAAAATGGTTTCAAAGTATTTCTGAGCATAGAATGAGTCTGTGACTTTCAAGAATTGTACATGGGGCGTTGTCGGGTTGGGAAAACGGCCCGGACAGGGCGTTATAAGGGCTTCAAAACTTGTTTGGCCAAGGCAGACACTCAAAGTGGCCGTGTTATGCCGGCTTGTCATTACTGCATTATTCACAGGACGAGACGAATAGTACGCTGAAATGAGAGACCCAGACGGCTACCTCATAGGGTCCCTTTCTAGCTACTTTTTTGGAGTCTTACGTTTTTCTAAATCTAACAACTTGCACTTTTCCGCCACCACTATTAAGCACCATGGTTTCCATTGCTTCACTTTACATACCTCGGAACTCCTAAATGCTGTGTCCCTAAAAGGCAGGTGCACATTTTCTGAGATGAGTAATTTTGCGATTACATGAGAACTTTCAAAGACCTTATCTGATAGCAATTTCCAGATCCTTGGTGGAATTCCATCATTCGCGTACGTGGCTGTACATTGGACTACTGCGCTAATTTTGACTGCGCCAGTATGCACTTCGCTCAACAATCATTTTGATACATTACATAAACTCAATATTCTCAATCCTCCGAAGCTGTTTGCGGTAGGCGATATATCTCCCGTTTGAGCTTTTGCTAATGATTAAATTCAATGCAAGTTTCCCATGCACGGAAACTTCCAAGAATTCACCCAATGCTTGCGTTGGATCTATTGGTGGGATGAATTATTATATACCATTCGATAATGTCGACAAGAACAATGCTCCCAAAAATCATTCTGTTCAAGTAATCGGTTAGGGTGACATCGGTTTGAATCCCAAGCTTTGGACCTTGCCTAGCATTACTTCACTCCCAATAGAAATTGAGGTATGCCAAGGGNTTTCTCTTACACCTCGTTCCTGAGTTCAAATTGATCAAAAAATGGAAAAAATAAGAAACAAGAGGAAATTATGTAAGGAGTCTCCGGCGGCCTCTTCGGGAATGTTTGTACTACTCTTTAGCATGCCTCCCTGGCCAAGACCTCTATAGTCAATGTAGATTTCGTGCAATTGAGAACTTCTTTGGAGTAGGTGGCTGAACAAATTGGATTAGGTACCAGTGAAGAAAAGGAAGATTGACCGGTACCAGCACTTAATGACAAACAGTGAGGCACTCTGTACTTTCCATCTAACTTAAACGTTTATACTTTAGTTTGGATGCTTGATGGCAACATTTGTTGTTGGCACATTTTTTATTATATCTATGATCTGTTATGCTTTGATACTCGTTCATGTATTTAACAATAGGAAGAAAAGCTGTGTGAGCAGGTATTGAGACGTCCTTTTCATCAGTTTAGAAATTTTCCTTCTTTGCTCAAATATTTAATAATTCCAATGTTCTGCCTCAATCGATGTACCACTCCAAAATACGGTATGTCACTTTCTTCCTGATGGCAACTTGAATAGGGCAGGGGTACATTAAGGATGACGGATGAACTCTGACAAACTTCGGTGATGATTGAGGCATTTTATAGATCTCACTCTGAAGAGTGAAATAAAAAATCACCCATATCACCTGTCGTCCCGTTGATCATCGATTTCGAGCGGACGCCAGTAACGCCTCCATTCGTCCCTGTCGAGTTCCATTCGAGCCAAAACAATCAAGATAGATTAAAAAATAATAAAATCATTAGTGAAGATCAGTGAGTTCTTGTAATGAGATTTTCCGTGCTCTGGTTCAGTTCAGAGGGTTATGAGCTTCGATTATGTGTGCAGGCGGCAATGTTACTACTTGCTTTGTTGATGTTTCTTACCTATCATGTCGGTCAGTACATCATCGGAGATGCTATTCACGATGTAAGGAACTTAAATACTTGTGCAGTCTCTTTCAGATTGATTTAGACCTTCACAAAAGTTATACCAAATCTGTTCAGATACCACTGCTCCTCTACTATTGGCGACCATACTTCTCACCAATTACAACTGCATTTGCGTCATGGGTAGAGCCATGGTCATGCCTTGCTTTTAACCGTGAAATTAGGCGAAATATCATAAAAATAGTGTGCTGTCGGAAGAAACGTCTTGGATTAACGGTAGCGTCTGATTAGGAATTCAATTCTTTCACAGCCGTGGTCTGGGGATCGAAAATGGGAACGATACCCGTTCAAGCCAGCCAAACCTCCCAACTTTGCTTCCGCCTTGATTAGTAATTATCAGTTTTGTCTAGAAGGTTAAAAGCACTAACTTGGACGCAGGCTGATCACCGAAATTCATCGTATAGGCTACATATGCCTTGAAAGAGTAACTGGGAATCTGAGTGGGGGTCGAGCGACCTAATGCTCCCAAATGGGTTTTGTTACGCTTAGACTTGGTCCTTCTCGGAATAGTACTCTTGGATAGCTATGATCAGACCTGATTTCCTTGATTTCCAGATGAGTTGATTTTGAGTAGGATAGGGACACTTTAGAACTCGACTCAGTTTTTTCTCATCCATTACGGTGTTGAAAATTTCAGGTAGCAAGTAAAATTTCCGTTCTCCAAGCAGGAATAGCGTATAAACTCAGAAGGACGAGAATTCACAGAACAAGAACAGGCGCTGTTGCAGACAATGAAGCTCCCGACGGAACATAGTTTGCTCAGGGTAAAGATGATTAGGTTTCTTGCATATGAAATGAACGGATTTTCATCCCAACTTTGAGTTCCAGATCATTCTTAATGTTGTCAATTCATTCTTCTGATTACATATATCTCTGAGTTTTCTTATCTTCTTGAGAAACATCATACGATCGAACATCAACGATCTCATTTCTTAATTGAAGCAACAGACATGGTAACCTTGGGGTGACGGTACTTCTTCCCGGAAAGCGGAAACGGTTCCGCGGCGGCCAAGGTAATATTCCAGCGAGGATTCAAACTTTCCTTTAATAGCGCGCGAGTGCGGATACGGCCAGCACGACGCGATTCTCGGGGGAGAAGTGACCACACCCGTAATCCTGGCTTGTAGTATTATAATAACTTGGCCTTTTATTTGAATATCTGTTCAACTATATTCTTTCGGAACGCTTTTCCCAATGCCGAGTATGTGAGCTTTATTCTTCTTTCAACAACGTTTTATAACAACATGTTTCGCTCTCACGCGATAGCTATTTAGCAATCGAGGGGCATCAAAAATATTTTCAATTCTTAACATGCCGCAATGATTTGTTCGAGTTACGCAAAAAGCAGTTGTAATTCATAAAAGATCTCGTGATCAGAGATTTCCACTAGGCAGTAGCAAACTACAATTATGAGGACACGGACAAAGGAAAACCGTGTACTCCACACTCCAGCTATTCGTATCGAAAAGAGAGGATCAGCAAATGAATAGTATACAAGAGCCCGAAGAATTTTCAGACGAGATTTTCGCTTTATGCTCTATTGTTAGAAGCAAATTATAACTTTGAATCAGCCAATTTTATGCCGTTGTGAAAGTTTTATTCGTTTACGTTGCCATCTTCTCTTGGGCTAGGGTTTTCTACTCGAATTTATTTTGCTCCAATTGACCAATTTTTTTCTAATCAAATAAAGTTTGGACAAGCATGTGTTCTGAAGAGCCTATCAAGATGGAAGCTAGGCAGAGGTTGCAAAGAATATGGCGAGGTTCAGCGAAGGTTCTTCCACTATCTTTTTTTTCCAAAAATCGTAGGAGCAATACTTCAGACTACGTGAAGAATCCGATCAAGTGGTTTGAGTTGACCACACATTCCCTCCACTTACTATAGGAAATAGAAAAATGCTGAGTTCGATGGAAATGCGACCGATTCGAAGCACAAGCTATACTTTCTTTTTCCGTCCAAGAGCAAACAAGGAGTTCTGTTAGCTTTCTCTGCTCCTTAGCCCATATGTTGTTCTACAGAATGACCTTTCAAGTGTAGAAATCAACGGTGACCCCAACGGGAACTTTCCCATTGTTGGGTCCTAATTAAACTTGTTGATAGGACCGTAATGCCGTGTTGAATGGTCTGTATATCACGTCATTCACTATGTGCCGTATGCGTCAAAAACTTAAAATGAACCAAGTACTCAAGGTCGATCCATTCTTTGCTAACAAAAGATGAAACTGATTGTGTCCGTTGATCGAATCGGCGAACGCTACCTACATAAGTAACACGGGTCAGACATATTCACCGAACACCTTTTTCTCAATGTGACTCCTTCTACGCCTCCTTATTACCTCTACACCCCTGACCATCACTTCAATTCCAGCCTGACTCTTAGAGGAAAGGATTGTGTTGTTTGTATGCTTTCAGAGCTTGGTTTCATTGAAAGTTTCATCGGCAATGTTATTTCTGACATCCTGAATTCAGATAAGACAAAAGACTTAAACCCTGCAATCCAAAAATTTTCAAAGCTGTGCAAAAAATTACGCTCGGGGAGCCGTACTGCAGACTTGCTTACTTCTTCAGGATTCAATAAAACACTAACAAATAATTAACCGTGTGGGATTTCTTAGTTGTTACTGCAGCCACTAACCAAATTTTCAAGAGGTTGATGCATGATTACTGCGGATCTCCCCGCGGTTTCTTTTCTTTTCTTTTCGATACAATTTAAATATTGAATTGGGAATTCAATAGAAATAATCTTCTTGCTTCCCTTAACAGAAAATCGTCCAGAGTCATCTTCATATACGCTACATTCCGCCCTAGTAGTTCAAGAAAGGTTGGAAGGCGGCCTACTCATAACGTGATCTCAACGAACTTTTCGGCGATGGAACAGTCAGCCAAAGCCGAACAAATAATGGAATCTGCTTCTGCGGTCGCTCTATTCACCAACAGAAACTCCCATGGATCATCGAGTCAATCGCCCGTTGAAAAATCGGATAGAGAACAGAACTTTTGACGAACTGGATGATTTGATGGCCGACGTCAAGGCGTGGATCGCCTCCAAGAATCGAAACTTCATCGCCTGTGGGATTACTGCCTGGCAATTACTGGCGTAGATAGTGATATTATCCGGAGAAATTTTTTGAACATGCCTTTGCTAAATATTCTTCCGTTCCTTTAGATTAAAATTTGCTTAAAAAACCGCAATAATTATGCATCAGCCTAATAGTATCTGAATGCGGCTATACTTTGGGAAGCGGAGAGTGAGGGGAGGATCGGATTGAGAAGTTTCTAGGCTCAATGAAACTGGCAACTCCTATTCCGACGCTTCGGGTACTTTGGGTAAACGACATGATATCAAAAACTTGGAGGAATTATTTGCTTGTTTGGCCTACCAGTTGAAACGATGTGATGAGAAGAAAGATGTGTGCCTAGGAAGATTGACTATGAACTGAATAATCGAGAGCAGTCCAAGTACCACTTTCCTCATTATATAGGTCGGACTTCACTTCTATACATTTATCCAAAAGTAGCTGTTGCAAAAGCACGACTCATCTTGATGAGGTAGCTCACGTGCATGGCGCAGTTCCTGTGATGCTCGAGACTATTTTCTTCTGATGAGCACTTTTTCATGGAGAATTTCCAGACGATGCACAACATGCTCAGCTTATTCTTACTGGCCGTCTTTGCATCAACAGCTCTTGGGCAATTTTACGGTGAGGATAACAAGATTATCGATTTTCTCATGCTTTCTAACATAATGTATTTTTTAGGTGGCCGCGGCCCTTACGGATTTGGACCACGTCCCTATGGAGGTGGATTTGGCCGTGGCCCATATGGAGGCGGATTTGGTCGTGGTCCTTATGGAGGCGGATATGGCCCACGACCTTATGGAGGCGGATTTGGTCGAGGCCCATATGGAGGCGGATTTGGTCGTGGTCCTTATGGAGGCGGATACGGTCCACGTCCCTATGGAGGCGGATTTGGTCGTGGTCCTTATGGAGGAGGATTCGGCCGTGGCCCCTATGGGGGCGGTATGCCAGGTGGATTCGGAATGATGAATCCTATGGGAATGGGAATGGGTGGAATAATGAGCTCTATGATGGGTGCAATGATGGGATAAAATTAATACATTTTCAATTGTATGTATGTATAATATTTATTGAATGTAGCTCCATCATGACAGCAATAATAAAATTTATCAGAAATTGTATGGAATCGCAGTTCGACTTTTAGACTACGACAAAAATTATTTCAATCAGCGTTTATACTTTACACAAGAATGATCCTTGAGATTAAAAAGATGGTAACTATGGAAAAACCAGTATCGGTCAACGAATTTCAAAATAAGGACATCTTCCTGAAAATGGGAACGCACTGGGTTCCGGTAGAAAATCATGAAGGGAATTGGCAAAAAGCCAGCAGCTAATATATCAAAGTGTTTCTCTATACTGTTACTGTACTGTCTAATGTCACTGTAGCTATTGAGACGTACATAGATTAGCATATGGTAGAGTATGACCGTTTCAAGAATGTCTGTACTATTGAAGTCATAAACAGGTTTTGGTTGGATAAGTCACAACCACAATGGCCTTTGTATACTACTCTGTTCTACTTCACATGGTAATGATATCTACAACCCATTATAACCACAGCCGGAGTCTCCTTCATCTTAGATCGCCGTCTTCTCCCTAGTGAGTCGTTTATGTAAAAGCAACCAGTTTCACTAACATTTTTTTGGATTGATATTATTAATTTCGGACTAAATCGAAAGCTTTTTAAGGAGAATGCGAAGCGTTGAATGCAAATATGAAACTTACAAATTATATGCCTAGGTTGAACAAATTTCTCTCCACTATGGTTGGGTTCTATCGAAAAATTATTAGTTTAGATAAAAACTGTACTTTTTTCTAATGCATCAGCTCTTCTCCCTAGTGACTGAATAAAACCGTGGAAATGTCAGGATTGCACCCCTGTTTGACGCTTGAATTGAATTTAATGAAACATTTTGCTGAAAAACCGATTCTCTGCTTTATATTGACGCCTCTTATCGGTCTTGTTCGGTGACATTAGCATCTGGTTAATCGCCCTGCAGCTCCAGGTATGCAATAATATAGGCAAAAGATGAGTAAGAGAGGAAGGGATTGAGCTGGGTGGTATTTGAAGGACGTAAGAATCCCTAAGTGTTCAAAGCTTCGGGCCGTGCATGCGCCATCATTTCAATTTTGCATGCTAATATACAGATTTCAGAGAATGTTGTCGAACTTGTTCAGCTTCATTTTGCCTTTCACCTTTGTAGCCATAACTGTTGGACAATTTTACGGTAAGCACTACAACATTTCTCACGTATGTTCTAATTGCAAGATCAATCACCTCATTCAAGGTGACGACGACCCTTACGAATATGGTCCACGTCCTTATAGAGGCGATTTCTATGGAGGCGGCTGTTGTCGAGGCAGATATAGCCGTGGCTACGGAGGCGAGTACGGCCGCGGCTATGGAGGCGGATTTGATCGTGGCTACTATGGACGCGGATATGGTAATCCTTATGGGTATGGATACGGCCGACGATGGGCTTGAATCGATCATCCTCAAAATTGTATGTATATAGCTCTAGTATTTTGACAGGAATAAATAAGATCGGAAAGTTGAGTTCTTTTCGGATTCATTTAAGAAAAAGTTCAGCTTGTATAGTAAGTATGTTGGGAAGAGAAAGCAGATAAAGAAATTTGAAACGTAAGGAAAGAAATGTTTAGAGTTCCGGCGAAACCTTAATTCAGGAGTACTATTTAAAACCAGAAAGCATTCGATATCAATCCAAAATCACGGACCGTCTCATACGAGTAGTTACAGCAGTTACCAACTGTGGCTCAGCATTTGTGCGACTGGAATTTCGTACAGAGATGAATTCTCCTCATGTTCGACCAATAAGTGA